TGGTACTTTAGATAAATCATAGAATCATAGAATTGTCCAGGCTGGAAGGGACTTCCAAAGGTCATCTAGTCCGACCTCCCCACAGTCAGCAGGGACACCCCCAACTAGACCAGGTTGCCCAGGGCCTCGTTGAGCCTCACCTTGAATATCTCCAGGGATGGGGCCTCAACCACCTCCCTGGGCAACCTGTTCCAGTGCTCCACCACCCTCATAGTAAAGATCTTGCTCCTAATATCCAATCTAAATCTGCTCTTCTCTAACTTAAATCCATTGCCCCTCGTCCTGTCACTACAGGCCTTTCTAAACAGGTTCTCCCCAGCCTTCCTGTAGGCCCCCTTCAGGTACTGGAAGGCTGTTATTAGGTCTCCCCGGAGCCTCCTCTTCTTCAGGCTGAACAACCCCAGCTCCCTCAGCCTGTCCTCGTAGCAGAAGTGCAATGTATAAACATGGAAGTTTTGACTGTATTGACCTCTACTAGCTATTAAGTATTTACCTATAAGTAATAAATGTCTTATCAATAATTCCTTGTTGATACACGGTTTCAGTTACGATTGCAATTTACATAAATATATTCTAACATGATACATAACCATACCAACATGTACCTATTCTGGATTGCACGTTGAGATGAACTTGTCACTGGTGACAGCATTTGGCCAGTTCCTGTCAAGAACACTTCCAATCATCCACCAGTTTCATCCAGGGGAAATCTGAGAGAAGACTCAAGAAGTCCTCGTCCCTAAATATTTTTTGAAAACAGCCACGTTGCTTATGATGTCCTTATTGTTGCCTTCATTACACATCAAAGAACATGTGTGTGTGAGTGCACATTTAAAAGTAATGTTATAAATTTCATAATCATAGTAAAAAAACTTCAAAGAGTCCAAACACAAGACATAAACCATAGGGTAAGGAAGCTCGATGGAACTACTTATTTACTCGAGTAAATTACCAAGTATTTTCTCATTGTTAACAGGAGATCAAGAAGTTGCATTTTGGCTTTGAAACAAAGAGTAAGAGTGATCAAAAGGCAGAGGAGAAAAAATGTAAAGGGAAACACATTGCTTCTGATGAGATCTAAAGTGGGAAGAAGCTTGGAGAAAGTTGACTTGAAAAGTAGGTTTTCAAAGAGCCAAAGCTGAAGTAAAAATAGCGCTAGAGACATGGAGGGTGGGCAGGGTGCCAGTCCTAGGCAGGTGAAAACAATTACTGGGGCAGCAGGAGAAGAAACATCATAAAGCACTGAGACAAAAGTCTAAGAAGCGCTTTAGAAACATGGAGGGTGACTTTGGATCGGGTTTTGGAGTGAATGCTGGCTGGGTCATGTGGTCACATTTACTGTAGGTACATGAATTGCAGAAACCAGCACTACACTCATCCCAGCATCAACAGAAAACAGTTTTGAGAAAGGACTGTATAAGAATTTCACCAGTCAAGGAATGAAACCTTATCCTGAGAGAAGCCAGTCAAGTTTCTCATACTACAAGGGAAAGATTTACCTGAGGCAAAGGGAAATAAACTATGGATGCAAGATTTAGAGGTGGTGTACTTTTCAGGAACATCTCTGCCTGCAGGGCAACAGACACTCGGGCTGAAACATAAGTCATGAAAGAAATGGAGAATAGGTTCAAGACAGTGTGTTATTTACACACTGGAACAACTGGAACAACTCAGGAAGAAGAGAGAGGATTCTTGAGTCAGCTATCTGCTTCTTGAGATACTTGGCAGAAAAAGGATGGCTGAAAGTTATAGTTTAGCAATACCCTTGCATATACCCAGGCAAAACACTACGTCCAATAATTTATAAACACCCACTTGTGTAATAAATCATTAATGAAGTAAGAGAAGAAAAAGTGAGTATGGAAGCAACAAAAAGGTTGGTGGTTAAGTAGAGCTACACACAGGGAACCAAGACACTCTCTCATCTGGCTGATTTAACAGTTTCCAATTTTTACTGTATCAGCAAACTGTTCATACAGGATTGTTCTTTGGTCTTTGTACATCAAATCACCTGTTATATTGTGAATTATGAAGATTTTCTCTGTGTCACAGTAGGCACTGTACACCTTTCTTTTACAGATTTGAATTATAATAGCAAAATTACTTATACAACCAATAAGTGTCCAAACGCTCCCATGAATCTCATTTGCTATTTCCATTCTCTGCCCTGCTCTCCTAATTTTCTTGGCAAGATAGTTAACATATATTGGCAAGAGATGGCAAATCCTTTTGCACTTTTAACTTATGAAATACTCCAGCTATCTATTTGGAAAATGTTAAAAACATCTCACATTAGTATGTCATATTTAGTTTCCTTTCCCAGTATTTAATCACCAAAATTCTTTCATTTTTACTAATTTATTTGATGAGCATCTCTGGAATTAATTCCATCATGAAGTCCACAACTCCTAAGAAAAGCAATGTAATAACAAGATTCAGGCTTTGCTGCCATTAAGATGTTAAGATTATACCATATCAACAGAGGGCAGTCTTTGATAACTATAAATTTATATGTAGAATTGGTGAACAGTGAATTCCCATTTCTCTTACATAGGAACTGTGAGTTGTGCAGGTTTCAATAAGGAATATAAATTCGTGATCCATCATAAAAAGCAAAGTCAGATGCCCTCAGAAAGGGTTGCAATTACAATAAGAATAGATTGGTGCTCATTTTTGAAATAAACAAACGTCTTTATAAAATACAGATTTATCCTGCCGAATCTCACACGTAATTTATTTCAGAAAGTATGTTCATCACTAGATTTCCACAAGCATGCTTTTATTTATTAATACTGTTAAATAAGCAGGTCTCCTTTGTCTTAAAGCTTTCTGGTTTTGTTTAGACTCAGAAATGTGTAGTAATGTAGCAGAGCTGCAAGCTTTCATGCAAGGATATTCCCTAAAATATCCTAGTTTTTTTCCCTAGTCACGTTTTCACCAGTGGCTTTATTGACCAAAAATTTATTTTAAAAGATCAATGGATTTGTTATTGGGCACAATTCTGATTTGTTAGCTGGACATCAGAGATAATTGGTAGGCAAAGGCTTTGGATTTACAGCTATGTCATTAGGTCAGAATTTAGCCAAGATGAATTTTCTTCAAGTACGATTTGAACACAAGCATTAGCACAAGCCAACCAGTCAACAAGCCAAGGAAAATCCTTTCAAAAATTTAATCAACTCCATAATATGGAGCTTTTTATTTTATGTTGTGCTGTGAAAAGAAAAAAAAAAACAAAACAACAAACATCTTGGACTTTGTACTTGGACTGTTGACTTGTTTGACAAGACAGCAACTGCTAAAAATAAAGAGGACTTCTGCTGTTTGTACATGGAGATTTACTACTTGCTGATGGAGATAATAGAGATGAAAGACCCTGACCCTGTAATCCACTGAAAATAAGAAATTTCTGGATCAGAGATGGGTCAACCTTATTCCTTCACCATTCTTCCCTTGATTTTTTTTTCTCAGTTAAGAAGCTAAATCTCTCAAAAATTTATTTGTTGGAATGCCCTTCCTCATTAACTTTCAACATAAGTATTTCAAAAGCTATTCCTTCATCTACCAGATTTCTCTAACCCTCTTCATCAATTGAAAAGAGATGTCCCAGATACAATCTCTTGATAAACATCACAACAAATATTGGACTGACTTTAACAGAGAAGAGACTGTTCCATTACAAATGTGATTCAAAACACATAATCATTAAAGAGAAAATATTTTAATAGTCTATGTTTACCTGCCATCCCTAGCAGTCTAAGAATATTAAAATAGGAAAAAAATAGTGCGCTTTTCATTGGATGCCTTTTTTTCCCCTTCTGTTAGAACAACAAACAAAAAAGCTAGATGCTATTTGTAAGTTTTATTGCCCTTTCTCACTGTCTCTCTAGACGCAAATGTATATATGCACATACACACACAGTTTGAGTGGCAAACTCTGTAAAAGGGAGTTTATTTTGAAAAAAGGAAAATCTTTCTCCCTCAAAGTAAATAAATGAGAAGATTTCTACTGAACATTGGTTCTTCAAAACTTCCATTTTACTACAGCCTAAATTTGTTATCAAACTTAGATAGTACACATATCTTTAATAAGTTAAGCTATTCATGCCCATGAAAACAGACGTGTTTTTGAATCACCCCAATGTTACCTCAAATCTCTGTGCTGGGTCATTTGGGTTTGGTTGTTTTTTTGTGGTTTGGGTTTTGAGTTTTTATTAGTTTATTTATTTGTTTTGAAACAGAACCCAGGACTTGACAGTAGACCATTGTATCTAGGCAATTCCAATCACTCCATTCTGAATATTGTCATCTCTGATAAGAAGATTTTTACTAACACCATGTTTGTAAAAATATGCGAGATCCTTGGTCGTGGGACTCAACTTCTTCTACTGAATTCTATTCCTTCGAGGCTTAGAAATAGGACATTAATTTGCTGAAATGAAGGGTGAATGCCTGATAAGGGTAAAGAAATGGCATTAGTGTTGCTTTACTAGATGTCTAACTACCATAATTGCTACCTCCTGCAGCAGTATCCAAGTCCATAATTCAGACTTGTTTAACAGAACAGCATTCTGCAGTCTTCCACAGGTACGTCAGTGATAGAATATGAAAGTTTCTCACAAATTACAATAATCCAGTGCTGCAGAACAGATGTCCACTGATGTACCCCTACCCCAAACCAAGCTGAATTATTTGTTGGAACCCATACTTATGTGTAAACGTGGCTGACGGCGCTCACACCTGAAATTCCAAATTCAAGTTTTCTATACAGAAAACAAGATCACACGCTGTTATGTTGCTCCCCTACTGAAGGATAACTTCAGAGATTATTTTTAAAAGGCAGCATCACAAATTTACATGAAGTCATTTCCAGACAGCATTGGGTTGTCTTTAAATGTACCCTTTCTTAGTATTTTTTGCTTCTCTACTGTTAGAAAATTTTTTTAAAAACCAGGCCACATTTCATTAACAAGGAAGAATTTCAGCAGCTGTGAGAGGGGATGAGTAAAAAGCCAGAGCCTGCCACTGGGAATTTTAAAAGGCGAGTAACTCCTGCAATCTCAGGCGCTTCTTATCACGCTTTTAACTGCGGACACGAGGTGGCAGAAGCGCTGCGAAGGTTTTCCTCCCCGCCGCTGCGACGGGCGGTGAAACCGGGCATTAACTAACGCGTTTCGCCCCGCAGACGTTCACCCCTTCCCTTCCCGGCGCGGGGAGAGCCGGTGCCGGCGGGCAGGTCCCCACACACCCCCCTACCCGGCCCCCGCCGGCAGCCC